GTGTGCGTGGTGTGTGCTGCCATGCGGTGCGCGCTGCTGCCCCTGCTGCTGCCGTGTGGTGCGGTACGTGCTGCGCGCTGCCGGCGGTGCGTGCTGCGTGCTGCCAGGCGGTGCGCGCTGCGCGTTGCCGGGCGGTGTGCGCTGCCGGGTGGTGCATGCTGCTGGGCAGCCCGCTGTGCGTGCTGCTGCCTATGACTGCGCCGCAGTGTGCTACCGGGTGGTGTGTCCATAACAGACCTTTTTTGTCTACCACAAATAAATAAAAAAAAAAACAAGTCCAATCTCCCAGGTGGCCTCCATGGATAAGTTCTGATTAAGCGCTTTTGCAGGTAATGGGCAATCACTGTATGGATGGTGAATGTGAGTGAAATTTCTATTTTTGTTAGCTTTGCAAGTTTTGTTGTCCCATTTATGTTTTGCTTCACATTCATAATTCTCATCACTTTGTTAAGGTTCAATGAGTTTTTGAAACACTCAAAGTTGGTCATCCACCAAAACAAGGATCTTTAGAAGAACATATCCACTGCAACGAAAAGGAGAGATTTTCTTTTCCTCTTTTACCGTAACAAGAAAGTATCAGTAACAGGATTGCTTAAGACTGCTTAACACATGACAACTTCCCAACTTCAAAAATGGCTGCGAAACAAAGGACTCTCATGTGCAACGTCAAGGCAACAAGGTACCTCATCTTTTCTTTTTCGCTTTTCCCTTTATAAGAAGAGTAATTGAAAAATAAAATTGATTGTTTTCTACACTATATATTAGTTTTGCTGAAAGGCTACATTCTATTTTTCCCCCTTTTAGTTTATGTGTCATGTGTATCTTCATCTAAACTCAAACCATCCGATTGATCATTTGGTATTTCTTATTTTATTATCTCAATGTAAACTCCTTCCACACATCCTTGCATTTTTCTTCTTTCAGCGGTGATTTTTTTTATTTCTTTCTTTACTCGTTTCCATGACATGGGATGTTCATGTTATTATTTTTTTTCAGAAAATGAATTTTTTTCTTAATTTTTTATCTCACAATGCAAAATTCTTCCACATATTAAATTATTGCATTTCCATATCCTTAAAAAGTTCTTTTGCTATCCATTTCCATGAAACATGATGTGCATGCCATTATTTCTTCTGAAAATTAATGTGTTCTTTTTTGTTTGGATTAAAGAAGTATTAAATCAATAAGATTTAATTTGATTCCATTTCTAGGAAACATAGGGTTCAATTATGAGTCTATGATACTGGAAAAACATATAAGCAATCAACCAGTGTCACAAAAGTGATAACCAATAAGGTGGTATTCATCAAAATTCACCAGGGGGTTTGATTGGCCAAAGATCTTTTGGAATCATACCTTTCCAGCAAAACAAGATCAAGACTGTTACTATCAGAGTATTAAATAAAGCACTATGTGCAAAATCTTATATTCGCATTGGTAATTTCATCACCTTCTACATTGCATTAGTCATACACAGTCCTTATTGTATATGCAGCATGAAAAGACTAATACTTAGCTAGAATAAATTTGTTTCATTCGAGGATAATGGAACCATTTTCATCTACCATAAATAAATGAGAATAACTTGTTCAATCTCCTGGGTGAGTGAAATTTCTATTTTTGTTAGCTTTTATAGGACATGACAATCACTGTATGGAAATTGAATGTGAGTGAAATTTCTATTTTTGTTAGCTTTGCAAGTTTGGTTGTTTCATTTATGTTGTGTTTCACATTCATAATTCTCAGCAATTTCTGTTAATGCATGACAGGTTTTCCACTAATAAAACAATGCTTCTGGTAGTGGTCACTTGCCAGCATAATTTTCTTCAGTTCTTTCTTTTTTCTGAATCCACATCAATATTATCAGCTACTACATCATATCAACCTCAATCCCTTTGTCATTGCTTGATGTGACTTTTATTGTATGTATGATAATTGGGTCTGGACTCTGTAACTTTTCTATTGCATGTATATTAAACATGTGTACTTGTTTTCTGCTTCTGGACATTAGGTGATTAAGCTCCCAGAAGGCCAGAACCACCATCTCCTTTCCAGAATGTTTCTGTGCAATAGGGTTGAATGTGACAAAGGTCTTTACCATTTATTCCACAAAAATCCAGAAATTAATTATAATGGTTCCATGTATCTTCTTTACTTTATCAAAAGGCTATTAAAGAGGGTCTTGGGAGGGGTATACTGGGTGCGGTCCTAACCTTCTACTCCAAAGGCTATTACCCAATCTTCTTTACTATGTAGAAAGTACAATGATGAAAATAAGAATAAGGTTTATCCCCATTTACTCTTCTACTCAACTTTTTTATTATAAATGACAGTTCTATGACTAAACATAGCCGTTATTGTCCTCTAGTCATTATGTTACTATAACTGGTTTGGGGGAATTTCTTCACAGATGTGAATTTTCCAACTGTGACCATGAGGTCACCCGAGGAGATATATTCAAATTGATTGAAGTTGATGGAGCTGCATGCATGTGTCTGTTCAAAGATACAAACCTATTCAGGATGCATGCATCTGATTAAATTTTCAGGTCTGTAATGTTATTTACTGAAGCATGTCTAGGAGTAAATTTTTTATGCACTTTCAACAACATATAGAGTTGATGTATGGATAAACCAGTTTCAAGATGATGACTGAGAATAGGTTTCAATGTTTGGTGGTTAGCAAATGCGCTGATTGTACACCCCAAAACCTTGCAGTATAATTTCTCCCTTATTGATGATATTAAATATTGTTTGATATTACTCCTGTAATTGAATTTCTGTTTAAATGTTGTTTATTATATATAGTTACATACTGGTCAAGAAAAAGAAAAACAAGATTATCACTCTTATTCTGCCATTCAAATATGTGTTTAAGTATCTGACATTCCTGTCACTAAATTTAGTAGTTTGTATCCTCTTGTCAGTAAATCAGTAAATCACCAATACCATACAAATCTTCTTATGCCCTATGATCACCTCTGAGGTCTTTCCTTGTATTGAGATTGATACAGCCATATGCATTAGTACAAATATATGTGGTTATTGCTCCTAAGGTGTAAACTAACCAACATAAGACATACCTGACAATCTCTGTAATTTTACAGCGCATGTTTGTGCCTAGATATGGGTAGAAGATAAATTGGATTTTGGAACATAGATGGATTTCTATAGAACCAGCAGTTGTAGCTTAGCAAAACAGAGTTGGATGCATTTCAAGGATACTGGACAGTGGGCTAAAATAAAATGAAATATTTTATCTTCAGGCATGTCTTCAAGGTTAGATTTTTATCTACTTGCATTTTAAATAATAAAAAATTCAAGGCACAGATGACTAAGAACTCAGGGAGAAATCCATCTTATACAAAACTTTTGGAAACTCAAATTTGCCTTGTGTAGTTTTACTATATACCAACATTGTAATTTGGAGCAAGACTTCAAGAGTATACTTTTTGTCTGTGTAATAAGAATGAATACTGTTTTTTTTTTTTTTTCTTTCCAAAAGAAAAGGAAGAATACTGTGCTTAATATTGTAGAAACATATCTAAATGGATACTCATTCTTTTTCTATTGATGCAAAGTTGGGAGTTTGTGGACAACTTGGTAAACCATTTCTGAGAGCAAGCTTATGTCTTAGAGAAGGGTGTAAAATTAGAACATAAATGCATTTTTATTAAATAGAAAATGTCATGCAAGAAATAGTTAGATGCAAGCAAGGGGCCAGGGTGAGACTTTGCAAGTAACAAATTTGTAAGAATCATATTGTCTTGACTCGTTACTCTTTGCTAGAACTAAACAGAATGTATGAAGAATAGATTACCTCCTATATTTTGTTAATACTTAGTGATCTGTTTTAGAAACACAAACCATATAATGAATAAGTTCCAAGACTGATATAATTTTTTTTGACAGGGTTGAAAAAATTTTCAACCAAGAGTTTGACATCTTTATGAGGTGAATCCAAAGCACCATATATGATATACCAGTGAAATATCATAGGATGTCTTTGTTTTCTGATGCATATTCAGAAGTTATGATAGACCATACTCTTTCCTCTGAGTTGATACCTTGTCTTTTTTAATAAAAAATCCGGTGTGTTTTGTTTTCGAAGTACTGAACAAACACCCCAAAAGAGAGTGCTAAAACCCACATAGCAGTCCCCTATTACAATGCTGTGCAAAAGAAATTGCCCCTGGTTGACCCTTGTTTAGCTAAAATATCAGCCAAGCCATCGGCTGGCCTTCTAAATGTCAGCCATGTCAGCCACAAAATTATGTCCATAGTCCATACCCTCAAGTTTCCTTCCTACATCCACTAAACTTCTCTCAATGGCCTTCCATCCACTGTATTTTGTTTTGATGAAATTAGATCCTATTCTGGATGCGGTGTTGTTGCTAGAGATGTTGTCTTATTTTGGCAGGAGGTCCTGGGAAATTAGTTCCCGTTAAAGTGATGGTTCAGCTGAAATGGTCATTTGGCTGAAGCTCATACTTAAAGCATGGCGGGATCCTATAGGAGTGTGACAATGGAGCTCTTAGGGACTAGCTTAAATTTTAACCCCTAAGGTTTGGTTGCAACTTCCAGCTTCCTTTTGCTAAATGATATTGGAGGGTTAAGGTAGTTGCTTTTGCCATTTCCAAATTGAAATATCTGTCTGGTTATGAATTAACTGTTACTTGAGATACATGGATTACTACTTTTCAACCTTTTTCAATAATTTATTAAGATTGTATTTTAATGTTTAATTTAGATGAGAATCATTGTAATTATTTCAATACCACATTCCTTTCCTTTCTTTTCTTTTCCTCATAGAAACTTTGTTCTTTATATCTTGGGTGTTGAGCGCTTCAAAATTGTAAGACCTACACCCGGTTTCACTGGACCTATCAAAGTGAATAATCTTCTTACAGAGGGAACATTCTGTTCATTGAAAATAAAGGGAAGGTGATTCTTAAAATCTGCTTGCATCCTTCGATTAGAATGATAGTCTAGTTTGGACTCTTGATGGTAAATGTAATTTTACCATCAAATCAGCCTAATTTTCTCACTAAGTCATGCAAGCACTTGATGCACCAGTTAGCTCATCGGGGGTGTAGTCATCTCCTTACTAAACAGAAACTTTGGGTCATTCATACTCTTTGTTAGAACTAAACAGAAACTTTGAAGAACAGATTACCTGCTATATTTTGTTATCTTTAATATTCTATTTCTTTCCATATCCATCCATTGCAGAAGTAACTGTTCCAGAAACACCAATCATCCAATGGAGAAGTTTCAAGACTGAAATTTTTTGACAAGAGTGAAAAATTCTTCTGCCAAGTATTTTGACATCTCTACGAGGTGAATCCAAAGCATCATGCAAGAGAAATAAATATCATGACATATATTTGTTTTCTGATGTTTTATCTTTCTGAATACAAAATCAATTCTATTTTCTTATGACAAAATTAGATACCATTCTTGATATGGTGTTGTTAATAGAGGTGTTGGTTTTCTTGTTTTCGCAGGAAGTTCTTTGAAATGAATTCCTCTTAAAAGTGATGGTTCAGATAAAATGCTCCTTGGCTGAAACTCATACAAAGCATTCCTGGTTCTTACTCGAGTTTGAGAATGGAGCTCTTGGGGGCTGGCATAAGTTCTAATCCCTGAGATTTGGTTGCAATGCTTACCCTCCTTTTTTTTATGACATTTGGAGGGTTAATGAAGTTCCTTTTCCATTTCCAAATTGAAATGTCTGTCTACTTAGGAATCTAGTATCTGAGTTTAGTTGTAAGCAAAAAACTGCTTGTGGTACTGAATTGTTACATGGGTTTCTATTTTTCATCCTTTTATCAAAATTGCATTTTAATGTTTTTTTTGGATGAGAATCAAATAATATGAGAATGATTTTCTTCTTCCTTTTTTCCTTCATTGAAACCTTGAGATCCAAATTAACCAAGGCCGCCTTTGGTATGAACCATTCAATTGTGGGCTATGGTCCTCCAAGGTCGCTAATATGATGCCTATGGTCCTTAAAACCTAGGCCCAAGAATAAGGATGGCATCTTGGCAACTTGGGACCTCACCATCCAACTCCAGTCCTGAGAGCCTAGGATTTTTATTGGAGTTTCCAAGCTGTAGCCCAGGAGGCTGGATTTCACACCACGGCCTGCATAATTATTTTCATTCCACCGCATCAATAGTCAAGCATTGATATCTATGTTCAAAATCTTGGGATCCATTTCATAGGTTGGATGGGCATTGTATCTTATATACTATTGTGCTCCGAGCCCATAGAGCACCGGTAGAGTCTTTTCATATATTGGCATGGTGTACCTTCTCCTTGCATCTTCATTATACATTCAAAGCCATGAGTCCCATTGGAATGAACAAGAAGAGAATTTCTTTTTCACGCAGGTCTTCACCTCCCACTTCGTCATCAGTAAGAGGTGCCCGAGGACCCAAAAAAGCCTTTTCAGCATAGTCTAGAGGGAAGGAGAGTCTATCCGGAACTATGTCAAATGGTTCAATGACGCTTGCTTACAGATACCCGATCTAGACCTTGCAGTTCGGCTCACTGCGGCCAAGCGTGGCATCACCCACAAGGAGTTCAAATGGCACGTGGTTGTCAACCAATTCAAGACCGTTATCGAGTTCATCGAACTCGTAGATCGATTCATAGGGACAGAGGGGGAGATCAATCAGAAGGGCGATCAGGCCCTTGAAAAAAGAAAAAGGGAACCGGAGCCCTTGGCTCCAAGTGACAGCAAGAAGAAGAAGGACCAAGCTCGGGGGGCAAAGCCAATTCAGCCTTTCCGAGCTCCGACAGCAGAAAGGGACTACATGCCCCTCAACGCAAAGCGGGTCGAGATCCTCATGGTGATCAAGGATGCCCCATATGTGAAGTGGCCACCTCGGCTTAAGGCCGATCCCAATGTTAGGAATAAAAACTTGTGTTGTAGTTTTCATAAAGATCACGGTCATAGTACCGAAAATTGCAAGAACCTTAGCGACGAGATAGAAGAACTTATTCGTCACGGATATCTGAGAAATTTTGTATAGCATAATAATAATAATAAAGCAGGCCGGCACGGGGAGCAGAGTAAAGAGGCTCCCGAATCCAGCAGACAAGTAGAACAGCCGCAGAGGTAGCCTCCCGACGAGAGACCAGTCCGGGGGACCATCCATGTAATTGTCGGAGGATCAATTGTCGTGGGCTGCACTTCGACAACAGCTCGGTCATCAGCCCGCGAGGCCGCCAGGGAAGAGCTTAACCCCCCAAAGCGGCTAAGGATGGAGGAACCGATCTTCTTCACTGAAGACGATGCGCGAGGGGTCCATTATCCCCATGATGACGCGCTCGTCATAAAGATTAAGATCAACGACTTCGAGGTCAGGCGTGTCCTAGTCGATTCGGGCAGCTCGGCAGATATTCTCTTCAAGGCAGCCTTCGATCAGCTACAGCTCCAGGAAAGCGACTTGAAGCCCGCAAACACTCCACTTGTGGGATTCAGCGGTGAGGAGGTCAGACCTTTGGAGAGAGTCACTGTACCAGTGGAGGTCGGCACCTGGCCCAGCATGGTAAGGCTCAACCACGAGTTCCTGGTGGTTGCGACCCCCTCCCCGTACAATGCAATAGTAGGTCGGCCCATCACCCACGCCCTACGAGCAGTAGTCTCCACCTACCACCTGGCGATGAAGTTCCCTACAGACTTTAGAGTCGGAGTGACACGAGGCGATTAGCTCGAGTCCCGCAAGTGCTATGTAGTCGCCCTCAAAGGAAAGGCCAAGGTAGCAGACGACCTCGAGCTAGAACAACCTGCGGAGCAGTTCACGGAGCGAGCCGCACCTACCGAAGAGACCATCCCCGTCCCGGCTTCGGCAGAGGACCCAACTCGGGTACTTTAGATCGGTGCTTCTATTGAGGAGCCCCTGCGGTCTCAACTTGTAAGTTTCTTACTCGAAAATTTAGATGTTTTTGCATGGTCAGTGATAGAAATGCCCGGCATAGACCCCAACATTATAACTCATAGGCTCAATACTGATCATGTAGTTAGGCCCGTTAGACATAAGAAATGCAACCTAGCCCCAGAGCGATGGAAGGCAGTCGACGAGGAGGTCGGGAAGCTCCTTGCAGCTGATTTTATCAGGGAAGTTCATTACCCGAGCTGGGTGGCCAACCCTGTTCTGGTAAAAAAGGCTAACGGTAAATGGCGCATGTGCATCGACTACACCGACCTGAACCGAGCTTGCCCAAAGGACTGCTTCCCACTTCCCAGGATCGACCATCTAGTGGACGTGACCTCGGGGCACGAGTTGTTGAGCTTCCTGGATGCCTATTCGGGCTACAATCAGATCAGGATGGACCCAGCTAATGAAGAAAAAGCTGCCTTCATAACCGAGTTCGGCCTGTACTGTTACAAGGTCATGCCCTTCGGGTTAAAAAAGGTTGATGCCGCTTTTCAAAGACTTGTAAACAAACTGTTTGAGCCACTAATTGGCATAAAAGTAGAGTGTTATATAGACGACATGATCGTCAAAACCCAATTTTCATATGATTTAATACAAGATTTACATTCAGTTTTTGAAATTTTGCGTAGATTTAATATGAAATTAAACCCCAACAAGTGTGTCTTCGGTGTCACCTCGGGTAAATTCCTAGGGTACATCATTAACCGACGAGGCATTGAGGCCAACTCGGACAAAATCAAAAACATCCTAGAAATGAGACCACCCCGGAAATTAAAGGAGGTTCAGAAGCTGAACGGCCGGTTAGCCGCCCTGAGCCGCTTCATGTCCAAGTCAGCAGATCGCTGCCTGCCCTTCTTTAAGGCCATAAAAAGCAAAGGCTTTGAATGGACTGAAGAGTGCCAACTCGCGCTCGACGAACTCAAAAGGCACTTCGCCAGCATCCCAGTCTTAACCCGACCCGAGGAGGGTGATATTTTAGAGCTATACCTCTCGGAAAGTGACGAGGTGGTCAGCTCGGTATTAATAAGAGAAGTAGGTTGGGTCCAATGACCCGTCTATTATGTTAGTAAAGTGTTGCAAGGAGTAGAAACAAGGTACCCAGAGATAGAAAAGTTAGCCTATGCACTGGTCATAGCAGCCTGAAAACTCCGCCCGTACTTCCAAGCCCACACCATCATTGTCCTTACCAACAAACCTCTGAGGCAAGTCTTACTCAAGCCCGAGGTCTCGGGAAGGCTGACAAAGTGGGCCATCGAGCTCAGCAAATACGAACTCCAGTATAAGCCACAAACTGCTATCAAGGCCCAAGTCTTAGCAGATTTCATCACAGAATGCACCTTCAGCTCCGAAGTCCCTAGACCGGTGGAACACGAGTCCCCAACGCGAGTGAGCCCGGGGTTCCCAGGCTGGTTGAGCTCGAGCCACATGAAGTAGCAACCAGTGCGGAGTGCGGCATCTCTCCTAGTTAGGCCAAGTGCGAACTAGGACGAGGAACCCTGGATCCTTCACGTAGATGGCTCGTCAAACCGGCAGGGCAACGGAGCTGGGATCGTTCTGTACGGGCCAAGCGGTGTGAAATTGGAGTATGCACTACGTTGAGTTCACGGCATCAAACAACGAAGCAAAGTACGAGGCGCTGCTAGCCGGGCTGGATCTGGCAAAGGAAGTGAAAGCCAAGCACATCGTCGTCTGCAGTGACTCTTAGCTCGTGGTCAATCAGGTTCTGGGTGAGTACAAAGCTCGCGAGCCAACCATGGTAGCATACTTAGCCAATGTAAGAGGGGCTCTGCTCAACTTCCGATCACACTTCATCCAACAAATCCCGAGATCAGATAATGCTGAGGTCGATGCCCTATCATGGTTAGCCAGCACGGGAGATAACACCATGAGGACTGTGTATATAGAGAACTTGCCTCGGCCTAGCATTCTCAGGGGGGCAGAGGAGGTCGCTCCCGTCGTTCAAGCAGAGTCGAGTTGGATTGATCCGCTCACGAGCTTCCTGCTACACGAGACCCTCCCTGCAGATCGTAATGCCAGCAGGAGGGTAGAGCGTCAGGCAGCCAAATACGTCATGATAGACGGATGGCTATACTGAAGATCCTACACGCTCCCCTACCTGCGCTGCTTGCGACCCTCCGAAGTCGAGCTCGTCCTCCGTGATACTCATGAGGGCTTGTGCGGTGGACACCTGGGGGGCAGAGCCCTCTCTCAGAAAGCACTACGACAAGGGTATTACTAGCCAACGATGAAGGCAGATGCGACCGAGCTCGTCAAAAAATGCGACAGGTGTCAGAAGCATGCCAACATCCATCACCGGCCTGCGCTGACCTAAAATACCTCACTAGCCCGTGGCCATTCGCACAATGGGGGATTGACTTACTTGGGCCATTCCCACCAGCAACAGGACAAAGAAGGTTCCTGGTGGTGGCAGTTGACTATTTCACGAAGTGGGTCAAAGCCGAACCTCTCGCAACAATCACAGCCCGGAATGTGCAGAACTTCTTTTGAAAGAACATAATGTGTCGTTTCGGATTACCTCGGGTACTGATCTTTGACAATGGTAAGTAGTTTGGAGACATCAAATTCCAAAACTGGTGCCAAGACATGGGAATTTAGTAGAATTTCACCTCAGTGGCGCACCCTCAGGAAAACGGTCAAACGGAAGTCACGAACAAAGCTATGATGACAAGGGACTATGGGCAGACAAGCTAAGGGACTATGGGAAGACGAGCTGCCCAGTGTATTATGGGCCTATCGTACCACGAAAAAGACCGCCACAGAAGAGACCCCCTTTAACCTCACCTACTGCACCGGAGCAGTCATTCCAGCTGAGATCGAAGTCCCCTCGCTCAGACTAGAAGCGTATGATGACAAGGCAAATGAAGACGAGCTACGTACCAACCTCGACTTACTTGACGAAGTACAGGACCTCGCATACATCAGGACTGCGGCCTAATAGCAAAGGGTAGCTCGGTACTATAACACCAGAGTCAAAAAGCGGACTCTCCGCGTTGGCGACCTGGTTCTCCGTAAGGTTATGGTGCTTGAGCCCGGTGTTGGTAAGCTCGGTCCGAATTGGGAAGGACCCTACCGAGTAAAGTGAGTACTCGGAGAAGGAACATATGAGCTCGAAACCCTGGAAGGGAAACAAGTACCTCGGACATGGAATATTGTCAACTTAAGGCAGTATTACCTATAAACAACCGAGTGGACCACGTGTCACTCTCAGAGCCTAAGGGCCAAGGTGCCGAGCTAACAAAGACCTCGACGCAATAAAACCCAGTCGCTCCTATGACATGGGCGAACTCCCGGAGCAGACCATGAGTCGCTCTCAGGACTTAAGGGCCAAAACGCCGAACTAACAGATTCCGGCATAATAACCTAGCCGCCTCTATGACACGAACGAATTCTAAGGGTGGCTGAACCCACTCCCCTCCCGGACAAGAGGCTAAAAAACCGAGCTGACCAAGGAGGTCGACACCACAGTACACAATGTGTCGAGGGTACAAGCAGACCGGTAGATTCCGCGACGCTTAACTCACCTCGGTGTACGCTAGAAGACAGTTTGGGCACATGCCTTACTATGCCTGTCAGTCACCTCGGTGTACGCCGGAAAACAGTTCGGGCACATGCCTTACTATGCCTGTCAATCACCTCGGTGTACGCCAGAAGACAGTTCAGGCACATGCCTTACTGTCAGTCACCTCGGTATACGCCAGAAGACAGTTCGGGCTCCTGCCTTACTATGCCTTACTGTCAGTCACCTCGGTGTACGCCAGAAGACAGTTCGGGCACATGCCTTACTGCCAGTCACCTTGGTATACGCCAGAAGACAATTCGGGCACATGCCTTACTATGCCTTACTGTCAATCACCTCGGTGTATGCCACAAGACAGTTCGAACATATGCCTTACTATGCCCTACTATGTCAATCACTTCGCACACTCAACCATGATAGCTCGGATAAAACAACACATGGAAAAAGAAAGATCAATTTCATTAACAAGTAAGTTTTGCATAACGAGCTTGACAGAAAACAAAAAAGAAAAACAACTACAAAGACTGATCTCGCAGGCTCGGAATATAAAGGCAATCACTTCGGGGGATCTTCATCTCTGCGCGAGACCTCTTCAAGAGCTTCAGGCTGGTCGGGGGCGTCTGCTTCCTCGTCACCGTACTCCTCCTTTGAATCCGGATCCTTTGTGGCTTGCCGAGCTATCTCATCCGTGATTCGCGAGGTGGTGATGGCGCTTGTGTCGAGCTCGGGGTACATGTGCCTTATCAGCCACCTGTTGAGCTTGAACCCCTTGCGGTAGGCCTCCCCCAGAATGACATCAAATTTATCAGATTGGATGTACTCCGCGACTGCCTTGATCTTCGTCTCCTCTATCACCTAAGTGAAGATCTCGGTCTTCTCTTCGATGTCCGCCTTGAGGAACTCCACCTCGTGCAGGAGGGCCTTCTTATTCTCCTTAAGGCCATCCGCTTCCGCCCTGAGGGCGTCCAGCTCGCCCCTCAACACACCCTTCTCGCGTGCCAGCTCCGCTTTGAGGACCTCCATCTCGCCCCTCAGCACGTCATTCTCGCGTGCTAGCTCGTCCTTCTCCGCCGTCAGCGCCATGATGACGCCCCTCTGGGCCATGGCGCCGCTCTCCAACCGGTGGATCTGCTCACGAGCTACAGAGCAGCGCGGGAAGACTCCTCGGCAGTTAGACCTTGCTTTAAGTTCCTCTCAGACTGAAGAGCGAGGGCGTGCACGACGCAGTTCGCCTGACAAAGGAAGTTAGTTAGTACCGAAGAAACGTGTATATAAAAGAAAAGGAAAGGAAAGAGAAGAGAACTTACCACCATAGTGTGGGTGGCAGCCCGGGCTCCGAGCTGAGTAGGGTTGAGCATTTCGGCCCAAACTGAAATTTCCTCGGAGTAAATGGTCCCCTTGCTCTTCCGAAGACCGCACTGGGGGACTAAGATACTTTGGCCCCCATCTGGGCTCCCCGAGCTGGAGACTGCCGTCTCGGCTGTACGGATGAGCTCGGCGGAGACCACAGCCGCTACGTCAGCAGCCCCGGTGGCAACCTCGGGCTCAGCTGCTGCCCTCGTAGCAGGTTCCCTTGGTGGTATGGACTCCTCCAAGTCAATGATCGGAGGAGCCCCAAGGAGCTTAGGCTCGGAAGTTAGAGCCGGTGGAAGCTTGGGCTCAGGATTGGGGGCTGGCGGCGACTCGATACGAGCTATCTTAGCAGCCCGCTTCTTCCTCCCCTTCATGTGCTTGAAGAGCTGATCTCCCTTGAGCTTATCTGCCTCCATGAGACCTGCAACAGAGCTCGGCATTAGCACTCGAGTAAAAGAAAGGAGCAGGCAAGACAACTAAGGTACTAACTACCTACTCGGGCTCAAGCCGACCTGGATGAGCATACTCTCGGTGGTGTAATCCTTGTAATTACAACCGGCCTCAACTCATGACTGGAATGTCTCCTTGGTCTTCTTGTCGAGGATGATGTCGGGGTCTTGGATAGCTGCCCTCCAGTGAGTAGGGAAGGGCCACCCCGTAGGGTTCTGGACTACAAAGTAGTCCTGCTTCTAGGCCGGGATCTTGCTAGGAAGCTTATGCATCAACTTAAAGCCCGGGCGAGGGGACAAGTAGTAAGCCCTCCTATGCTTGGGGAGAACGCATGAAGCGCTCTTCTTGATGGTGAGGATAGAACAAAATATGTCCAAGTCTAGGGGGAGGACATACTCGTAGCAGAGAGAGATGGTCCTGACCACGTTATGGACCAAGTTCGGGTGAAGCTGGTTTATCGTAACATTGAAGTGGTTCAGGACCTCCACTATGAGTGGATGGAAGGGAAGGCATAGCCCGGCTATGAGCTGCTCCCAGAAGATTATGACTTCATCAGGGCGGTGCTCCCATGGAAAGTTACCCGCAGGTAAACTGTAGGTGTACTCCCTGGGCAGGTTGTACTGCCGAATAAGGTGGCGGAGCCTCTCCAGGGTCATGGTGGAGGGTCCGCACCTGTCTGGCATCTGACCTCGGTGAGAGGTGGATGCCAAGTTACTAGAGGCCTCCCGTGCCTCAGGGGACTGGACTCCGGTAGGGTTACCCTGAGTCGAGGTACCCACCTCGGGTGCCTCAGGCTCGTCTAATTGGCTATCAAATGAAGACATAACGAAACTGAAGAAGAGCTAGGGTGACTCACCAAGGAGAGATAGACCGGACTAGGAAGAACTAACCCGAGCTGGAGGCTTTGGACGCAAGCTCAAGACTACGACTGAAGATTTGTGGTGAAGGAAAATGGCCAGGACCCCCACTATTTATAGCCACTATACGTAGGCATCAACGGTTGAGATCGAAACGATCTGATGGTCCTCATGAAAACCGGCTACGCGACCTTTGAGGCAAAATCAGTTTAGCGCGTTTTTTGACGTTCGCGGAGTGTATAATTCGCGTGATGGACACGAAATCTTAGACCCCTAGCACGGGGTCTATCAGTTTAGGCAAAATCAGTCTATAAGTTGGCGGACAAGAAAGCTTAGACCCCGAGCCAAATCCACCCGGCAGACTGCGGACTCCCCGCGCTGGGTCAGCACCCCTAGCACGGGGAGTGGGGGGCAATTGATGTAGGGTGATTTAGCCCGACCTTGTAGCATGGGGACACGTGGACATGACCTGGCATAAGTGACAACTCAGCGCGACTGCCTGGCCACAACTCGGCGTAGGAAGTTCGCCGAGGCCCAACCAAACGACTCAGCGGGTGTGGCATCTTGGCGAGAGGCGAGGCCCAGCTCGCCCCAAGCCTGAGGATGGAGCGCCCCAAGCTCCCTCCGAAGCAATCCGAGCTCCTCCTAAGGGGCCCCGAGCTCTCCCTTCCTAAGGGAGCACCCCAGCTTCTGGCTAAGTGTCCCGAGGGAGAAACACCTCGGGACAACACCTTCGTAACTCCTGTTCATACTTGCTCAAGGCCCGCTTCCAGGGCGAGCACCTCGGCGTACCTCGGCACCTCGGTGCAAGGCAACCCAGCTTCAAGTGGTTCGGTGCAAAGTAGCTCGGCAGTCTGCAGGGAAGATCCGTCTGACATCCGTACCTGCCGGATCTGGTGCCAGTGCCCACATCCCTTGCTAGGCGACATCGTGCTTGCCGTCTCTGAAAAGAATGGCGCGCCTGACGAGTCCGTACCCTACAGCAACGGCCTGCAGTAGCAGTCTGCACCTGCCACCTCAGTCCTGGTAGTAACGGCTAGGGCAGTGGCGGTTACGCCTGACGTGACTGAGCTCCGGTATAAAAGGACCCCAACCCTCACGAAGCAAAGGTATTGAAGCTATCACTTTCAGCACTCTTAACTCTCAATGTTTTCCTTAAGTTTTCCTCAGATTTCTAACTTAGCCATCGGAGTGTTCCCGCCAGGAGAACTCCCGGGAACCCTTCACCTTCCTATTCCTCTCAGGTGTCGGCCGTCACAGTTAGACGCCAAGTCTCAGCCAGTTACGAGTGCCCATATTGTCCTGCATCAATGCCCAATCGTACCGGTACAACCTCTTCTCTTTCTACAGACGTACCTCTACTCTCCATCGTTGATATCTCTTCGTTGACGAACGCAGCAAGTACACTGGTTATCCTTCTGTCATTCGCCGCCTGCTCTTCCTCCTCCGCTATATCCACAGAGACGTCACTATTCTTGGGGAACAGCTGCGTGAAGCGGCAGAGGGGACACAACCCATGAGCTGACAACCAAATGTCCGCACTGTGGATGAAACACGTGCCCACAGTAAGGAATCACCTTCACGGCCTCCCCCTCGTTGAATTCACTCAGACACTCGACACAGTCGACGGGCTCCTTGGCGCTCCTGTCGTAGGTGAACAGCGGCAGAGACTTAACGGTATTTGGGTCGAGACCACGAGGCAAGACACCAACGAGGCCGACCCTTCTCTGCGCTACTGGCCTCGGCTGCGTGAGAAATTGAGGGCATTCTCTTCGGCGAAGCGGCGGATGTAGATGGAGAAGAAACCCATGAAGAAGAGAGCGGTGAGGAGCACCACAACGGTTAAGGCCATGGAGGGAACCAAAGACAACGTGAACAGAGGATCTTCAGATCTTGGCTTTAAGAGAGAGGGAGAGCTGTGACTGTTGTGAATGGAGATTGCATAAAAGAGAGAGTAGACAGGCGGACAAATTGACGATGAAGCTTTGATTTGGAGCGGATCTAGATGGGATTTAGGAGAGAATGGCCTACAAAATAGAGAGACAGAGACATGATCGAGGGGCAAATGCTGTCTATGTGTAAACAAAAATTTGAGAGGAAGCGATGAAGCTGCTTCAGTTTGCAATTTGCAGTGCACCCGGTGGAACTGGAGAGGCGTTGTTGTAGAGCTGGAACTGGAACTGAGGCTGGTTCAGCGCTTCACTTCCCTACTGTGGAACTGTAACTGGAACTTGGCTTATGCGTTTACGACGCCGGTGGAACTGGAGAGGCGTAGCCAGTGAACCGCACGGGTGGGCTTTGGCTTCGTGGTCCCAGAGTTATGAAAGGTAAAAGGAAAAAAAATATGAGATCTCAGACCCTCCCACATCCGCTGCCAGTGGCTTCTGCGTTCAGTGAGATCGCCGGTCACAGGTGGATGCTTCAGGGCTAGGGGTTGGCGGAAAAAAGTATGGGAGGGTGTGTTTTAACTTTTTTGTCTTTTTGTATCCGGTTCAACCGGATTTTGTAACGAACAGCTAAACGTCTGTTAAAGTTAATAAATTTTAAACACGCCAACGTGGGCGTTTGTGCGTGTGAGGAGGAATCTGGTGGCTATTGTGCTTACTTTTCCAATTCTACAACGGACCTCTTTTGCGTTGCGTGTGAGGATGGAACGCGCAACGGGAAGCGTTGCTCCGGTATGTTCTCTCTCTCTACTTTCTTCTAACTTTTCCGAGAGAATTTTTATGACTATTACAACTACTATATCCTTCAACACATAAAATTTAGAGTATTTACATAAGCGACGAAGTTGAAGTTGGAATCGGAGTTGGAGTTGGAGCTCTTCCATCATCTGCCCGACCGAGTCTATTGGACACAACCAGAGGCTCGGAACACCACGACCACGACCGCTAGAACAGACGGTGGGTTTGCTGGCTTCGTCAGCCCGTGTCAAGGCTGGCAGCTGCACACATCGGCGAATCAGCGGCACCCCTCTTGTTATGGTCACACCATCCGGCAAGGCACTGCGGCGCCGTCATAGGCAGCAGCACACACAGCAGTGGGCACCGCCTGGCAGCACTGCACAGCAGCATGCACCGTCGATA